GGGGGGGGGGGGGGGGAGCTTTGAAATAACATCTCTCAGGGCTGAAATGGGCATATTATATGTGCTAAGTGATGCATTGAGCTGTAACTTCAGCAGCTTCTTCTGTTTCATAACACAGATGCAATGGGGAACTGGAGGGTCAAGTTGGTGCCTAATGGGGGACCCTGCATGAATGGAAACCCCATTGCAGCAAGGAGAAATCTGGAAGTCAGACTTGGTGAGGCACAGGGTTTACTACGTAGGTGCAACAACCAGAGAGACAGGTTCTCTATCTAGACCCGCTCCAAGTGCAACTCCAGCGACCATGGGGCAGGAAATCCTCGAGGGTCTGAGCATAGATCACCATTTTCTTCAGAATTGACAATGGTGACCATCATGGTGCCTTACATCTCCTGGAGAGCGTTAACAGGAGTGTGCTCCTCTTTCCAATGGGAGACTTGATCCCATTATATTTGCACCACTAGGCTATTGGTTGGTGGGCATGTTGTTTGCTTTGCCCATGTCAGGACACTAAAAACCTGCCCTGCCCCCTGCCCGGTGTTGGCACTGATGCTTGTGCAACCTGAGTTCTAAACTTTGCCGCTGGTGTCAGTATGCAGAGACTTCCTGGGCTCGATTCTGACCCTGCTCACACCAGGTTTACGCTGGCAAGACTCCAGGGGAATGGCTCCTGGTTTTTCATGGGATAAGAGGCCTAAGTCAGAAGCATTTTGCAATTGTGAATGAGAACAAAATGCAAAGCCTTGGAGATTCCTGGTGTAAAGGACTATCTGTTACTTTGCATGCAGGATTACTGCAACCCTTCTTGCTTTTTGCTCATAGTTAAAGCTGGAACGATCATTTCTGGGATCAGGGTAAGAGCCACTTAGTCTTCATGGCCCAATTGCCCCTTGACCCTGTGCCAGAGCTGCCGATAAGGGTCAGTGCCAGCTGTGATGACGTGCTATAGATTGTGCTCAAGAAAGGAGACCCAGGCTCACTTCACATGGGACACTTAAAGGCAACCAGTAATACAAGCCTGTCTTTAGCTACCTGGCAATCTCATAGCTCATTCTCCGAGGCACCCAGGCTCCTGCAGTGGCTATTGTAAGTGTTGCACAAAAGCTCATAAGGGGGAAAAATAATTTGCAAACATCCCTGGTTTTCACACATTTGACCTATCCTCATCTGCAAGTAGCTATCAGAACAAATGGCTCCCTAGCGTTACTGCACTGAACTACCCGAGGCTGTAGTCGTTTGACTCTGCTGTGAAGCTGAATGTCCCGATATGACCCCTTCTCCCGTTATTCCCAAACCTCAGTCAACGACTCCAGAAGGCTGACGCTGATGGAGACCAGCCCGTTGAAGCTGTCGTCTGGGAAGCGGAGTCCCTCGACGAAGAACTCCAGCTCCGCGGATCCACCAGTGTACTTCACGCTGTGATACAGCTTTCTCCTGCCCAGGACGTGGATGTAACGGCGGCCAAAGAAAGGATCTAGAAACAGCGGGAGAAAAGGAACATGCAGAAAAGACACGTCTTTCTTATACCCACTCCTTCCAGCTTTGTCACTCTTTGTCCCCTTCCCACCTTTAATTTGGATCTCAAAATCTGTAACCGCAGAGCAACGGGCGGCTGAGAACTACTGGTCTATACGGATACAGCCGGAGACTGTCACTTGCCTCTTAAACAGCCCAGTGTAACAGTTAACAAGTTAATTAAGTGATGAACTAAGAAGCCCAAGTGGCCCACATCCGGGGCCAGTCCGCTGTCATTTGAGCTATGGGAACGTGCTCCGTGCAGTCTCGCCAGGAGAACGTCTTTGGTTTCGGCCTGGGGGAGGTGGGATCTTCATGCCTTTGAGAGCCGTGCTGCGACTGTCCAGCGACCAGCCGCAGGCTCAGATCTGCAGAGAAGATTCACTGGCAGTTTTCCTTTGTGACCCCCAGGCTTTAGGAGTGCTTTGTGTTTCGGGGCCCCTTGAAGCCAAGAGCAAAGCTCCATCATGATGATCCTAGTCTTGACACCGATGACCCTCCTGCATCCACCTTTACAACTAAGCCCGCTGCAGCTGGTCCCTAATCTACTGGACCAGGCTTTGAGTTTTGGTGCTAGGTGGACATGCGGTCGTCTAGCATGACAGCTCTGATCAGGAATATTGGGGAAATCATGCCCTTGGCTTGTCGGGAGCAGAGGGTGCCGCTGTGCTGTGGGCAGGGCACTGCCCTACCGACTCTTGTGCAAACTGTCCTCCGGACAATGCTGCAGGTCTATTAAGCTTCTCTGCCTGGCCTCATGCCCCTCAGCCTTCTGCCTCTGACCCCTAGACAAACTGGATATTAGGAAAAACTGGGCACCAAAGGAGACAGCTGACTTTTTTTTCTTTTTTTATAGGTGTTTAGACAGAAGAATCCAGTATGGGGAGCTTGCTTTTTCCTAGGCCTCTTTCGCTCACGGTCTTATACCGCCCAGAGGCAAGATACACCATTGCAAACTGCAGTGATTTAGTGGATCCAGAACTGGACAAGGACTCAGCAGACCTGGGCTTGATTCCCCATCTCATTCCCTGGCCTGCTGGGGGACCTTGCACAAGTACCATCACTTCTCTGCAGCCTCAGCTTCCGTCACCTGTGAAATGGGAGTAAAAAAAAAAAAAAAAAAATCCAGACCTCCTTTGCTGCGAGATCTCCTGAAGCCTGCCACATAACAGCTAGCCAGGTGGCGCTTACAATTAAAAACTCCTTTGTGATCTTGTTTCTCTTGATCTAGTACAATAATGATGGGGCATGCTCTTTGGCTGTGAACTACCCTGCCTCGCACATGCAGATGCTCCATTTTTAAATCAGCACAAAGCCCAGGTCATGTATGCTCTGGTACAGGCATCACACTGCCTTGCTGTGGTACCTCGGGTCAGCTCTGGGATAGCTATTAACATCTGTGGAGAGCGGCCCCATCATAAGTGCTTGCTCGCTGCTGCATTCCCCGTGCTTAATTAACGTCAGTAGAGAGAATACATGCAACTTCTCAGTCTCTTTGTAATTAGACCTGACAAGTGGACTGAGGAATTTTGGCAGGGGAGAGGAATCAACTCATCACTCGACCATTAACTCGCTCATTCACCTGCTAGTGACCTTACATGATGTTCAGGTGCTTGGCCTGGGGCATGGCCTCAGCTTCTGCCTTTGCAGGAAAGCCTCGTCCTTTCACCACCCAAGCGGATGTAGAAGGCTGCTGGCAACTTGCAGACTGGCACGCAGGGAAAATGCCATGCCTGGTCACGTCAGCACAGGACGGTTTCCCCTAATTGATACGGTGCTAGTGCCATGCAGACAGCTACCACAGGCCAGAGGGAAATGGGCCGGTGTTTGTGGATCCCTCGTTATGTTCTGGTCCAATGGCAGAATCAACGAATCATAGAAAATGAGGGTTGGGAGGGACCTCAGGAGGTCGCATCTAGTCCAAAGCAGGACCAGCCCCAGCTACATCATCCCACCCACGGCTTTAATCTTAAAAAACTCCAAGGATGGAGACTCCACCACCTCTCTGGGTAGCCTGTCCCAGTGCTTCACCACCCTCCTAGGGAGAGAGTTTTTCCTAATATCCAACCTCAACTTTCCTTGCTGCAACTGGAGACCATTGCTCCTTGCTCTGTCACCATTCAACTCTCCCAAACAAAGCAGGGAGGACTCTCCCAGGGAGGATCAAGAAACCCCCAAAGGCTGCAGCAAAGGACACCAGTTATTCAGTAGACGCCCATCACATTAAAAGACAGACCCAAAGAATAACCCTAAGACTAAACAAGATGTGAATGGCATCACCCACAAAACCCCCGTGATACGACTCTGTGCCCAGTTCTTCCTCCTCCCAGAACGGTCCCTACTCCTTGCATTCAGATGTTCACATCCACCCCCAGACTAAAAAAGTTAGAAGAATTGAGGAGAAAATGTTTTCCCACACTGTTTCTGGCTGTGAGGATGTTAAATGGAGGGGGAGGGCACAAGCTGAGAGGAGTTGGAGAGTTTTACTAAAATAGCAAAAAGGATAAAGGTCAGTCCTGACCCATCGTTCTTCTTCAGCTATTCTTGGGGGAAAAAAAAAGAAAAACTTTACATTTTGGGGGAAGAAAAAAAAAAAAAAAAAATCACTGGAGACATTCGGAAAGCACAGTTGACAGCGACCAACTGCACACTGGGTTAATGATTGCTGGAGAGGCAGTTATTTTAGTGGGACGTGTATGCATGGAAAGCCAGAGCAAAGAACATGCAGAGGGCAAGGCCAACAAGAAAAGGACAAAGCTTGCAACCCCAGAGATCACGGGAGCACCATGACATGACGGACAAGGGAGGGGACAGAGAAGGAAAAGAGGCAACACTTACTCTGCACGTAGAAGACCCCGACTTTGTCAGAGTCGGATATAGGAATGTAGAGAACCATTTCGTATCCTGGAGGCAGTCTTTGGGGGCCTTCGGTTCTCAAGACCATCCGAGCCATATCCAGCAAATCTGGGGCCAAAGCAGATTGGAGAAGTCAGAAGGAAGCCTCGTCACTTCTCAGAACAAAACCACAGACCAGGCTCAAGGATGACCCTCAGAAATCAAGGCCTCAGCTAGTTAGGGCAAAAAGAAATGTTTCATTTTAAAACATAATTACTCTGGAACCTGGGGGTTTTGGAATGAGCAACCATTCCCTGGTAGGTTTTCTTCTAGGAAAAAGGCTGCACCCACGTGCTAGCAAATTAAACTCTTAAAGGTGACCAGTGAGTACCACGGACAGTTTGCAAACAGAAAAAGGGAAATCAGGTGTCTGAATTTTGCTCTACTTTATTAGTGAATTCCATGAAACAATTAAAACTGAGACAAAGCCAAGCCCACATTTCTAATCTGATGCTGAGGCACTGGGGGTGGGGGCTGTGTAAAATACCTTCTTTGCTGAATACTTTTTCATCTTCACAATCCAGCATGGAGATCAGAGGATTGTCCTTGTCACAGTTCACTAGCAGGATGGCTCCTTGTCCATCTGGGCCCCAAGTCCAGGTTGCCTGAAAATGGAAAAGCTTGGCTTAGTGCAATGGGTCTCAACCGTTTTAGACTCAAGGCACTGCTGGATAGGCTCAAGACTCCCCTTGGAAAATGCCGGCCCATAGCTTTCACTCTTTTTTTGACTATAGAAAAATAACAGAGCAATTATTTTATTGAAAAAGGACTTAGAAAGCCCAGAGCAGGTCAGAATCTGAAACCTCTGGGTTTGTCTTGTGACTTACGTTTATACACCTAACAGTGCTAACATTGCATGGCACCCCGTAGCACCCTTGAAAGGATCTTAAGGACACCCCTGGTTGAGAATCACTGGCTATGTCTCTCTAGTAGCCAGCTCCAGTTGCTATCAGCCTGCTGGCAACTATTCATAAAGAAAGAGGTCGCTGTGTTCATTGTAGGAGTGAGAAACACAGTTTAGGCAGTGGTCAGGGTTAAGCATTGGCTGAAAGGGCAAATCTCGTGCTGAGTACATGCACCCTCAGTCCTTGCTAATAACCACGCGCTGGGGCAGTGTTCTTCTTTACAAATGAAAGGAGCTTTTTTTATGAAGAGCATCTCTAAAAAGCAATGGCAATCCAGGCAAGGGGAGAAGCCTTCGCCTTCACCCCATCCCAGCACCTGCCAGTGACTTAATGAATGTTCCTCGCACTCCATAATTATGTCTTCATCATTCATTCCTGTTCTGGACAGCTGTGCAGCGTTGTTCAAATAGCAATGAGGAAAGCTGGCCTTTCAGAGAGGGCTCCACAGGCAGGCACTGCTCAGCAGAGCAAAGAGGTATAATTTACTCTTATTCTCCATCTCTTGGCTGCTTTTCCAGGAATTACAGTGCCATGGTGTCAAGTGAACGCAGCTCTCGGTATATCAGCCCAGCTTCTTCAGAAATCAGCTTTCTGTTCCTATTCAGCCAGTACAGAATGCAACTTTCCAGAGAGGAGAGAGGCGCTCAGGCCAAATTTGGGACATCTTGCAATTGAGAGGAGCTGGGTGTTGGAGGTCTGGGTGCAATCCATGCCTATGATTTCCTTCTTGCATTTGCTAAGGGACCCGCATCTCAGCTCGCTGGCAAGGGTACAGACTTTAGGCTCAAGTTTCTAATACTTTACTTCAGAGGCTCCTACTGTGACAGCAGCTACTGCTTGCTGCTGTCCTGCAAAGGAACAGGACAGAAGAACAAGAAGGGTGCTCCTGGCGCCAAGATGACCCATAGGCTCCCATTGTCCTCCTACCCATCTCCAGACTGCAACTTCTTTCAGATTTCATTTTGAACATGACCAAACCCAGAGGAAGGGGTAGAGATAATTGCCCTGAAATAGGGCTTGGCCTCATGGGGCTGGAACAGCAGATGTGGTGTCAAAGGCTAGTTAGCTGCTGGTGCCAGGGATGATGGCAAGGCTGTGTCCTCACAGCTGGGCACCACAGGCTGAGCACAGAGGCTAAAGGGAAGAAAAGCAGCAGTTTGACCAAACAGTGATTTCATCCCAGACCCTTCACACAGGCAGAGTTACCTTCCGTGGGTTGTTCTTTTCCACCACTCCATCGCGGTCTGCATCGACATCCAGAGAGATGCCTAGAAACACAAGAGAACCAGTCAGGTCACTGTTCGCATTTCCAGCAGCATGCAACAGAAAGAAGCAGCTCATCTTCAAACCGAGACTGAGGTTTGGTGCAAGGGACAGTGCCTGTAACACTTTCCCCATGTGAGTGGGCAGTTCGCATAGCCCTGTGCAAAGTGGTGTGGGCTGGGCTCCGTCCAGCCTCCATGCCTCCCCTTGGCCCTTCAGTGCCTACATTGTTATTACAATACCAGTTAATTTCCCATGTAAGATATCAATCACTTCTATAGTGCCCAAAAAAGCTTATCTTGCTCAGGGACTCATGGTAGAGGTGGTATCTTTTATTAGACCAGCTAGATTTTTGCAAAAAAAAAAGTCTTTATCTTGCTCAGGTGCAGGACAGGCAAAGGGACTGATTCTGCTCTTAGCCGCAGCAGGTGGAAAATCAGGAGCAACTCTGCAGGAATAGATTTGCTACAAATTTTTATGGAGGCAAAGGGAAGAAGAATCTAGTTCCTTGGTCCAGGAGCCAAAGCATATTGAAATGGATGGATAAATCCTGTGACTTCAGGGGCTGAGCTTGGGCCCCAAGGCAGATCCAGCAGGCCTCAGTAACTACCATGCAACCTAAGCATGTGACTACATTGCTGTACAGCATATTTTGAGTAGCCAGCATTATCATTAGCAAGGGAAATAACACACAGGTTAACAGTATAGGGAGCTTCCTAGATGGTTTCATGATAGGAAAACAGAGGCTGGGTCACACAGGGCTGACATTAGCATTTCCTTTCAACATCTTGTTTTGCCATGCACTAATTATTTCAACACGCTGCATTGCTGGCAGTTTGACAGGGCTTCTTTTTTTGAGGTTTTTGATAGTTGTGTAAATAGCTCACGGTGCAATTAGGTTCAAGTCAGGGCATTATGAATCCCTGCTTGTTCCTGTGCAGGCTGCCGGCACTATAATGCACCTTCTAGCTTACCATAAAATTACAGAATCATAGAAAATTCAGGTGGGAAGGGACCTCAGGAGGTCACATCTAGTCCAACCCCCTGCTCCAAGCAGGGTCATCGCCAACTAGATCATCCCAGCCAGGGCTTTGTGTAGCCAGGTCCTAAAACCCTCCAAGGATGGAGAATCCACCACCTCTCTGGGTAACTTGTTCCAGTGTTTTACCACTTGCTCTATTCAGCACTGGCAAGGCCTCAGCTGGATTACTGTGTCCCGTTTGGGGTCCCACACTTCAAGCAGGACGTGGATAAATTGGAGAGAGTCCAGGGAAGAGCAATGAAAATGATTAGAGGCATGGGAAGCATGAATTACAAGGAAAGGCTGGAAGAGCAAAGGTTATTTAGCTTGGGGAAGAGAAGACCGGGGCTGGGATTTGAAAACGGTCTTCAAATACCTGAAGGGTGATTATAGAGAGGGTGGGGAGAGACTCTTCTCTGTGGCTGTAGGGGACAGGACTAAGAGAAATGGCCTCAAGCTGCAGGAGAAATTTATGGTGGAAACTAGGAAGAAGTTTCTGACTACGAGGCTGGCCAAGCAGAGAAGTTGTGGGATCTCCATCCTTGGAAGTTTTCAAGAGCAGGTTGGATAGACACTGGCCTCTGATGGTTTATTCAGGGAGGCTGAGCATGGGGCTGACATGCAACCTCCTGAGATGCCTACTTTCCTATGATACTATTTGGGCCCTGAGGCCCCGATCCTGCCGTCAGATGTTTGCAGAGGGATGCCTGCACCTATGTGGAGCCCCACTGAAAGCAATGGGGCTCTGCAAGATGGATCCTTGTGCAGGTCTGGGGCAACTGGGCCTGAAGTAAAACTTGAGCTCTTAAACACCCCAGGACTTTTCAAGGGAAGGGAGTAGAGTTTCTCAAGTCATTTTGTACAGCGCCTAGCACAACAGGCCTTCGTGGGGATGGGTCTTGTAGGCACAATCACAACAGTGAACAGAGCTCATCTTGGCTCACAAGCCAGACTACCACTTGTGAATTAGCCACTGTCAGTGGTCTAATTTACCACGATAAAAAGACTTCAACGTGTATTTTCAGACATGACTAACCTAGTGAAATGGTGGTTTTTGGCACCGTTTCGTGGCGCGCATCTAAACAACGTGTACCGTGTACAAGCGCCCTTTGAGACCACATGGTAGGAATGATTTCGGGTATGCATACACAAGCAAGTTAGCATGGCATCAGCTAGGGGTAAGCTTGCTCCGCATCCACCGAGGGGTAAGGTGCTGCATGATTGCCCTGGGCAGGGGCAGTTCTCTCAGAGCCGGTGATGCTCTGGGAGTTCACAGCTGGAGGCCACTCGCCCCATCCAGTCGAATGAATCTGTGCAATGATGGGCTTGGTGCAGCGCTCAGCCAAAATATTCAGTGTCTGCTTCCTTGTATAGAAGTCAGTGGCTGTAATGCTCTGCCCCGGGGGTCTCGTATGGCAGCACCAGATTCCTCAACAAAGCCGCCTGTTCCTCGCGCCCCCTTTAAGCTGTGCTCCCCTGGGGCCATCTAAACTCCCTGCGTCTTCCCCACCATGTTCACATGGAGTCATTTTCCACCGCCGCCTGGGCCCGGAGGGAAGGCTGTGGCATATCAGGTTTCCCGATGCATTTTGAGACATCATGTGAGACACTTCTGTCCCCCTGTAAGCTGTTTTGCTGCTAAGGCAACAGTAGGAACAGCCTGCGTGGCTATAGTTAGTTACTATCAAGTGAATTTTACAAGGAGAGGGGGAAAAAAAACCCCTCCAAACACTAATAGACCTCCAGCCTGAAGGAACAGAGCCTCCGTTGGAGATGGCAAAGGCACATGAGCACCGTTTCCTTAGCACCAGCTATGCGCAAACCAGACACCAATGTTCTGCGCTCCATTATATCAGGGTAAGGCAGGAGACTCCATTGATACTATCTGGACTTAAGAGGCTATGAGAGAGATCAGACAACACTTTGCCCTTGTACATTTACAGCAATAACCAAGATCCATCTAGGCAGAGAAGGTCAAAGACTTGTATTTCTGTAGTGTGGGAGAAGTCTAGTGGAGACCGGGGCCCCATTTTGCTAGGTGCTCTACATACCGAGGGTACATCTACAATGCAATCAGAGATGCAATTGCAGATGTGGACATATCAGGTCTAGCCTTAACCTACCCGTGTAGCTTTAGTGTGGTGAAGTTACAGCAGCAGACCCCCATACAAATTAGGGGCTTGAGCACTGGCTTGTACTCATATATTCAGAGCCATAGTCTGAGACCATACTTACCCTGAGAAACTTGCAGCCTAAAGAAGCAAAGGGGTGGCAGAAAAAAATCTCTATTTTCCAGATGAGAACCGAGATGCAGAGCACTGAAGGCTGATATTTTCAGGGGTGCTCAACATCTACCGCTGGAGCTAGATCGTCAGTAAGATCCCACTTACTACTCAAGCACCAAAGGTGAGATGCTGGGTTTTCCCAAGAGCCCAGCAGGCTGGGTGATTGCATGCTAGTTGCTCTGCCATTTTGAAACCCTGGCCGCTGGCTGTCGCACTCTCCTGAAAAATCAGGCTCTTATTTTGGTTTGCAAAAAGGAAATAGTACTGCTTTGAAAACCTGGCCTTTAAGAGACTTGCAAAGATCCCAGAATGAATCTGTAGCAGAGCCAAGAATCACAGAAAATGAGGCTTGGAGGGACCTCGGGAGGTCACATCTAGTCCAACCCCCTGCTCAAAGCAGGATCAGCCCCAACTAGATCATCCCAGCCAAGGTTGTATGTAGTTGGGTCTTAAAAACCCCCAAGGTTGGAGACTCCACCACCTCTCTGGGAAGCTTGTTCCAGTGCTTCACCACCCTCCTGGTGAGAAAGTTGAATGGATCTCCCTCTCAGTCCCACTTATGGACCTCAAGCACAAGGCCATGCCCCTAGGCTGAGAGTTCAGGAAATTTTCCAGCGTTCATCCTTCGTCCTTCTATAGCACCTTCCCCTAGGGATCAAAGCCTCCCCAACTCTTCCAGGCTTATCAGAATCATTAATTGCATTTAGGGATGGTGAAACCACGGCATAGACACTTGCCTACAGGTGTGGCCAGGCCATGTCTCCTGGCTCATCATTACACGCCTGAGTCATGAGACGAAGGGGGTGGGCTGGCTGTTGGACTGGGAGGAAAACTGCAACCATCCTGTGGAGCTCACTAGGGCTAGCACTTACCAATGCCCGTCAGGAAGATGCCGGCGTGGTCTACAGGGTGTTCTCCATTCTCGCTGTAGTAGTTAACATTTACCTGGAAACACAAAACACAGGCTCTTGAGAGAGGTGCCAGGAGGACCGGAGCATGGCAGGTGACACCCAACAGGGGCACAGCACTAGCTGCCAATTCAGACGTCCCTCTCCAGGATGCATTGGCTTCATGTCTGCCTTGACTGCTTCTATCTCCCCATCTTGGGCCAACCTGACTGCCTTTGGATGCTGGCTGGTATCACCAGGTCAGCATGGTAAACTTACTGTGCCAGGCAGCCCTGCCCTCAAGCAGGCACCACGGCTCGGGGCAAGCTGCCTGCTAAACCAGAGGTAGCCAGGATGCGTGCTGTGATACCCTGAGCAGGCTAATTGGCATGAAAGCAGGCTAATTAGCACTGTCACATGAGTGCCTCTCAGCCAGCCTGGAGTGCCTCAGAGACATGGCTATCTTGGCTCTGGGTTAGGAGGCAGCTTGCCCAGCACAGCACAGAGGCCAGGGGCAGTAAGCCTGCCATGCAGCTGAGCACACGTGTTGCCCTGTATCCCTGCACTGCACAGCTCTCAACATCAGGCCATGTTATCTTTGCTCTTGCCTCGTCCCTCTCCTGTCTCCAGCACTTCGCTAGGAGGCAAATGATGCCACTGAACTGCTGAGCAGAGATGGAAGACCCCAAATTCTTGGTGCAACAGGCCTTCGTCTGAAAGAGGGAAGGCAAGCAGAGGCAGGGAGATCTGCAGGCTTGAGGAAGGGCATGGAGGAGATGCCAGGAGCAGCCCGCTGCCCTGCCTGTCAATGGGGAGAAGAGGTCAAGGGATTGCCCTTGAGGCCACTTCTGTCTGCTCCACTCTTGCACTTACCCATTCCCCCTATTTGAAAACTGCTCCCACACCCCCTGTATTGCAAACCTTGCATGTGGGGGAAACAGCAAATCCTAACAAGGGTTGCAAAAGCTTCCAAGGAAGCGTCAAACTTGTGGCAACCTGACGGTGCAGGTCTTGGGATTTTTTTGTGCTGGATGCTGCATTACTGACCTTAGCCACTGAGCATCCCCAGCAAAGAGCATGTCAGATGGAGCCCACCAATGCCCTCAACTGCACCATGATCAACTGGCCAGTAACGCCGCAGCATCTTCAACCAAGAGACTTCAGGTACATAGCCCTGTTGGCATTGGTGCCATCTTAACACAGATAAACATGGCATCTGGCGTTCCCTGCATGGTTTCTCCTGGTACCAGTTACAAAACAGCAGGAGGCAAAGAGAAAAATGAGGCCACTTGCAACCATAAGGGGCTGTGAGCCTTTCTTCCTTGACCTCAGCGCAGCATTCTTCATCGTGATCACAGACCACAGGTCTGCATTTAAGGTTTATTAAATGCACCTGCATTTAATAAACTGCAGCCGAAGGTACCAGTCAAACTCTGCACCTTGACCAAAAGTGCAGTTAAGTTAGAAAGGAGCCATCCATTGAGCCCAAACTTATGTCACGTTGGCAAAACCAGACTGGATCTTCCGAGCCTGGTGGAGGACACGTGGGAATGGAGCCATCCTACACAAGCATCCTTAACCAGCACTGTGAATTCAGTGCCGATCAGACCCAGGGGCACCATCCATCTTCCTCTTCGGCATGGGTAGATGTGCTCAGGACACTTTCAATCCCCGAATCCTTCTGGGATCTACTCTTCCATTGCTGCTGTCTTTTCTTGTGCACAGGAGGACTAACCCTTGTCCAACTCAAATCGTAAGAGATGGGGTCAGAAACTCCCATCGAGGAATGAGAACCAACACCAGCTTGTAGCCATTCGTGAAGATGCATCCCCCTATTCCTAGCCTGCCTAAAATTTCCAGTTCCTCTGAACATGCCCCATTTCCAAGGAGCGCCCAGGATACCCTGCGCTGTCCCCAGTCTTCCTTTACCTTGTTATCGTTGACCTCTGTGCTGGCTTTGCTCATGCTGAGTCTCAGGGTCGTCCCCTTGTCCAGAGGCCATCGCTTTGCTCCATTTGCAGGGATCTCCTCTGTTTGGTCATTTGTAACAACCTCCACGCGAACCCCGTCCGTGTGCTTCACGCTGAACGACACGGCATCGGCAGGGGCCGCTCTGCAACGGAGGGAGGAAAGGGAGGCGGTCAAAGGACTCTGGAGAAAAGAAGCCCCTCTGCACCAACACAGATCCCTTATCATTACCAAGGGAAATAACACACAGGTTATTTCGGCTTCTGGGTACTGCAGAATAACACACTCATCTTCTCCAGATGGTCCCTGATCTGGGTAACCAGGATTGTCCTTCCCCATCATTAAAAAAAATCAGCCCAAACTCTAGCTCATTAAGATAGGAAATGATGATTGCTTTGATGGCTTTCTGTTGCGTACATGAGAGGAGCGGTGCATTCAAAGAACTGGAGCACGGGGCTAGCAATTGCGGGGCCTGGGTTCTCCTTCCCACTCACCTACTATCTCCATGTGTGCCTGCAATCTTGAAAGTCACTTTGACTTGCATTTTAAAAATCCTGGAGGTTTTTAAGGCCCGGCTAAACAAAGCTTTGGCTGGGATGATGTAGTCGGGGGCTGGTCCTGCTTTGGACTAGATGTGACTTCCTGAGGTGCCTTCCCACCGCCATTTTCTATGATATTGCGACCAGCAATTTCTCCATCTGCCCCGCCTTTGCACAGAACAATTCAAGATCCCCAGTCAAAAGACACTCAGAAAGTAGAAACTCCCTAATATAAAGGGATTTGTAACAGTTTGGAAAAAACTCCACTATGAAACCTTAATGTCCAATGCTTTTTACTTCTACGCATAAGACTGTGCTTCCTAAATTCAACCACCCCCCGTTCCAACAAACCGAGGCACCCATGCAGCTCAGATGCTGAAACCCTAGACAAGTATCATGCATCTTTCTGGACATTTGCGTACAGGCTGGAAAAGATAGAGCCTGCCCACATAGCTGAGCTCGGGGAGGACCCTTTGGATGGAAAATGGAGCTCTGCTCTCATTATTAAAGGGTTTGCTCCGGAAATGGATTAAAATGGGTGCGTCCACTGGTTGCAACAGATTACGATGCCTGCTTCCAAGATTACAGTAGCATCTATAGAGCCCAACCGCAACCAGAGCGAGGCTCGGTACAAGTGCAGCAGAGACAGGCCAGCGCTGGGACTGCAGTGTGGGCAATGCACATCCTCACACTCCTCCTCTCCCTTCCCTCGGACCACAGAAAGGAAGGAGAAGGACCCCTTCTTCCTCCACGGACCTGTCCAGCCCAGCCTCTCCCATCTCAGCACTGAAACCAGTGTCACCATCCCACCAGTGACCCTGCTTGCATATTTTAGTCCTTTGTCTCATCCCCTCTCCATCCTGCCTACTCAAACTGCAAGCTCTGTTGGGCAGGGGGTTGGCACTAAAGTGTAGTAGCACCAGCAATGGGAAGCAAAAGCAACCCGATTCATAATGGTCTCTATGTGAAGGGTACCACTGCACTCCAGGATCTCTTCTACAGTATGCACAATTCAGGATGCAGTTATTATCAGCCGCTCACCTCTGTGTGCAGAAACCATGCCTTCCTCAAGCCAGACAAAGCCATGACTCCTTCATGAAGCCCACGCTGGCACCAAGTTTCAAGTGCCGGCAACTCTCTTTGCCAGCTGCACCTTTCAAACACTCTAGTAACCAGCCTTTAGGACCTAATGTCTGCCCAGTGCCATCAGGCACAGACAGACGCATCAAATCTATCAACAACGGATGCCAACGCGAGCTGTTACGGGGCAACTGCTATGCCCACCTCATTCTGCAGCTATGCAAGTGTAGCACAAAGCGCTTTAACCGCTTCATTCGGGCTCAAAGTGAGTGCAATTTAGCTCGCTTGCATAGCTCCAGGGTCTTGCTGATGTAGCAGATAGGATGCGCCAGCTGTTAACAGAAGCGGATCCCCCTCCCCTTTTAAAGCAGTTCAAAGGTATGTTTGTCCTGGCTGCAAGATGGGACCCAGAGGTTAATGTGGCAAGGGGCTGAATGTAAGGCTCCATGCAAATATTAATTCAGATGAATCTGAAAGTACTCCTCTGGGACTATATTTCCCCAGTTGGAGATTCCCTGCTGCCAGGAGAGATCCTGCCCAGGAAAGTGCAAGCGGTCGCAACAGGGCTGTGGGCACGCCTGCGACTAATCCAGCCAAGTGGATGCTCAACGAAAGATATATCTGCCAGCTCTTGTTACAAGTCATTTGGTGGTTCCCCTGCGCCTGCCCGCATAGCCCGCTGCTCCGGCGAATCTAGGATTGCAGCTGGCCCAAGCTCCACTTCTGTGAAAGACGCGTATTTTGAATAGTGGGGCCTACCAGGGCTCAGGGCAGGAAATCTTTCTAGGAACTCATTTGCACTAGCGCTACTCCCAGCCAAAGCATGCTGGCACCTGTTAGCCGCGTGAGCCGACACAGGGTCTGGGCTGTTCTCCTTCTCTTTCTCCATCCCCCAAGACACCCTCCGCTTTGCAACCACCTGGAGATGACACCAAGAGGAAGGAAGAGGGGACATAGCTGCAGAAAGGGCCGAGGACGAAGCCCATGAGCTGGTCCAAGTCAGGAGAGAAACTGAAGTCCTTTATACTATGGGGTGATGTGGGCCCGATCCTTTCTTCCACTGTCGTCAAAGGCAATATGGCCAAAGACTCAGTAGGAGCAGGATCTGCATTGTCCCACAAGTCTGCAAGCTCAGCTGTGTGGTTTCAGACCCAAATTAAGGACCCAGCCATATCCACTTTGCTATCAGGCAGATGCTGGCCATTCATTTTGGTGCAAAGGAGTCTCCAGGGGAGCGTGGAGGAGGTCTGTGGGGTCTAAGCATTCAAAATTCCCCCAGCCAGATAGCAAAATTTGGTGAGGCCACGTCTCAGCAGACCTCTTGGCACCTCACGGAGTCTATCGCAGTGTAGTGTGTTCCTGGGGATATAATGGGGGAAGACAGCGTAGCGCTGCAGTGTTTCCAGCCATTCCCCTCCACCGGGAAGAGACTCATCAGCAACCGGCAACATGACCCTGATGTTACACCCCTGCATCACTCATTCTGCGCCAATGCAGTTACCACTGTTACTATGATGGAGATGTTTTATGGCAGGTCAGCCCCTGCCTGGAGAGCAGCTGGCTCAAACTCAGTCTCAGTGACCACGTTTACACTTTACTGCACAGTAGACTAATCTACTATGCAGTAAAGCGTCACCGTCTACACATGCAGGCACTTACCGTGCTGTTGTCTACTGCACAGTAAAGCTAAATAGTATTAATTGCACATGTAGACGCACCAGTAAGGCTGAAAGGATACTTATTGGAAGGGGAAAGGAGGAAATGCTTTGAGACCCAACCAGGTCATTGTTCTTCCGTGGAAAAAGGCAGAACATCTCAGAGCCCCGGGAGGTGTAGTTGACCCTGGATTGTCAGGTGACATCGCCGATTAAAAATGCTTCCCTTCACCTCTGCCTTTCTTCTTCCTGTTGGAAGAGCATCACACCAGACTGATCCACTTCACTCCCCAAGTGGAAAAGTGTCTCACCGCATCAAGTGAGGGTGACAGTCTGGAGAAGTCATCATGAAGAACTCAGCAGCGCAGTCCCCTCCACTGGCTCCAGGTCTGCTCCAGCTGGGTTGGCCAAGCCCAAGTGCTGTTTTTCAAGACCATCTGATGGGCTGCAATTAGTTGACAGCAGCAATCGCATCAAATCATAGGCTGGAAGGATTGTTTGATGTGCTAGACTCCCAGGGGAGCTGAGTAACGTGCTGAAGACTGCAGAGCGCTCAGAAGGGCTGGAGGGGTCCTTGGGATGTCACATCTAGTCCAACCCCCGGCTCAAGGAAGGATCATCCTCACCCAACCCATCCCTTACAAGTGCCAATACCTGTGGCCCACTGAAACATCAGCCCTCTGGGGAAAGCCAGCCCATTGCTCTTTGTGAGCGGCACAGCTACCTCTGGACCAAGCTCCTGGACGAAGTCAGACCACCTCGAGTGTCTCCACACTGAGCCTCCTTTCTCCCAAACCCAGAACTCAAGTATGCCCCAAGGAACTCTCCTGGTAGATAAGGATAACAGTGCTGCAGCAGCACAGAAAACCTGGCAGATATTTTGCCCGCTCCTGCAGGAGATTCTTTTTGGAGCTTGCTGGGCGTACACGTTTCCATCATCACTGGGCCAACCTCACCCTTTTGACCTCTATGGGGAATTTGCCTCTAGCTTCAGGATCAGGATAGGGGCCCCTTTGACTATATGGCCTGATTAGGAATTAATCTCCGAGGTGCTGAGCTACTTTAATTATTGCCAACCCCAGTGGGAGCAGAGATCTCTGCCCCAGTCCAAATCCAGCCCCAAATGGAGGGGATCATGGACCAAGGAGCTGCATTTACCCACCTGGCACAGAACCGCTTTACCCACCCACCACACAGGGTAGGGAGCAGGGACCCTGTGCTGCACCTGGCCTAGGCTACAAAATGCTCTTCATTGCAACCATGCAAGCAGCTTAATGGTCAGCCCAAGTTACGCCTGGGAAGTCTGACATGCAAGAGCTCCCGACATGCCCTGCATAGCTGCTTCCTCCTTGGTGTCACTAAAATAACCCAAGGGCAAAGCTCTCATAGCAGATTGATGCTGGCAGAGACGGATTCAGTTTCCTTTTGGACCCAGGCATGTAGGAAAAGACACAGCTGATGTACAGAGGGTCATATGGAGGGGATGGCCTCTCTCACCAGGAGATGGGCTTGCTGGCTCAGATAGAGCCATGGCAGGGAGCATCTCCCCCTCTTTGCAAATCGCTGAAGCTGATTACTATCCAGATGTTTCCTTGCCTTAGACACTGCTGCGGGATCTGAGCATTTTGCAGTCTTCAATGCACTCTTCTCCCCCAAGTGGCAGGGCCCCCTTGTCGAGATGGGGGAAACGGGGGCCGGGTCCCCACTGGAAACTTATAGAGCATGGCAGTAGCAAGCTCAAGGGCTAGTTCCTAAATCAGAAAGACTGTGGCACAGCACCATGGGTCATCTAAGAAGCACAGGGATAGGTTAATTAGTGCTAATCAGTCTGCCAGAACGTCT